AGGGAGTGGGAGCTCCTACATCCCTGCACCACAGGGAGAGGGAGCTGCTGCATCCCAGCTCCACAGGGAGCTGTTGTTCGCCGGCACCATGGGGCCGGGCAGCAGCCAGCACACCTGAGCCCTCCCGACGGGTCTTTAGGTCCCGTCAGGGACCTAGGACCTAGCTGCTCCTTAGGTCTTTAGAGTTCTTCTTGCTGGCATCTCCCTGGCCTTTAATTTGATATACTGACACCACAGCATGGATATCTGTATTTCCCTTCTAATTGTCCTCATTCTGATCTTCTGCAGCCAGCACTTTGCATTTCCCTACAGACATAAATACGTCAATAATTTGTCTTGTTTCTTTGCCAGACTATTGCCCGTTATTTAAAAAGTTTTAAAAAACACAAACAGTATTATGAATTGTCAACTCTTCCCAAAGACGTTTCAGCCAAATGGTAACAGCTTTTTCCTTTCCCCAAGTAATAGTGGAGACTGTTGTCTGTGCCCTTCTATAAGGCCTTCCTAAATAGAAATCACAGGGCCATAAATGGCATGGCCAAATTTAAAAAAAAAAAAAAAAAAATATATATATATATATATATATCCCTTTGATTTGGGTGAGATTTATCCAAAAGTGGAGAGAAGCACAAACTCTTAAGTTCACCCTTATATATATTTATTTCTTCCTGTCCTCCTGTGCTGCCCTTGCCTGTGAATTGTGCTTAGCCAGCACAGCACTGGCTATTGCATTGTCCCAATTCATTCAGTGCTGACACCAGCTTTATCTGCCTATATGGGCTGATCAATAATATCTTCCCCTTGCAAAATATTCTCCTTTCTTTCACTTCTTTTGAGAGCGGCCAGTGAAAGATGTTAACAGGATGGTAAAGAGATGTAATCCAGAATTTGTGTGTTTGGTTTCTGACCTCTGACTTCTGCTCTGCTCATGGGATACCCACCTCTCACCAGCAGCACGGGCAAGGCTTCATGTAAGGCCAAGACAGTGAACACGAAAATGCAGCTAAAAATGCTTTTATGGCATTTTAACCAACCTTTAATGACAGACATGTAGCTGTTCGGCCCAAAACATTTGGGAACCACCAGTAATTGCTCTCTTGCAAATGCCTTTTGTTCTCAGTCACCAAAGCTTTGAGTTTATGTATTTGAATATTTATTGCCTGTTACATGCTCTACTACTTCAGGATTATTACTTAATTAAACATCAATTTGCCTTATGTTTTCTTAATGTACTTTAGCATGAATATATCCCTGTCTTCATTTATAATTTAATCTTGTTTTATTTATGTCTGGGATTTTCTGATAGTAATTGTGTTTCCTCCCTTCTCTGACTTTCTTTACTTTTCTGAGGCAGATTGTTCATCTTTTCACTCTAGAATCTCTTTGCTAAAACCTCATGGTGATTCAACAGTGTCTCTCTGTAGAAGGCAAAGGCCTCTGAAACAAATTCCAGGGCTTATCTTCCTGGGAAGATGAAATTCACATCCTTTTTGTAAGGCTCGAGTAGCCAGGATTTACAGCCCTCTCACTGGTCTGAATGGCTGGCAATGAACAAGGTAGCTCGTAAGAAATTGCTTCACTTAGGCAGCAATTCAGGTCTCAGGTGGATTTATTTGTCCATTTTAAGCACAAGGACCACTTGGAGAGCAGGTCCATGGGAGACCATTTAATAAAAAAATTTCCAAGGGCAAGGTGAGGTTGCACTAGAACAGATTATCTTGGGGAGGCTTTGAAGGATTTATAGGCAGGTTGGACCGACATCTCTCAGAGGTGATAGAGGTGAAGAGGCAGGCGAAAAAGGCGGAGCAGTAAATCTGGAGAGTCCCACCAAACCTCTGTTTTTTCATGTTTCATAGTGGCTGGTGCATGTTCCCTACATCCCAAACACCTTTGATGGTAGGATGTCTAGATGGTTTTGTGACGACCTAGCTCCTTATGTTATTTGGAAGTACATTAAATTACTGTCTAGCACAAATGCAGTAACAGTTCTGGGAAGCAGGTCTCCAGCCCAGTGCCTTAATGAAACCCCAGAACCAATCTGGCCTTTTTTCCTTCTCTTCTTTCGCCCCGAGCTATTCCTTTCTGGGTTTTGGGGTGCGCTGCAGTTTTCACCAGAGGTGAACTTGATAGTGGTGATTTGTGGTTGATATCCCTGTGTCCTTCACGTGGGATCTCCTTTCCCCGCCTCCCTCCACAATCAGAGAACAAGCATTAGTTCTTAGTGTGCTTGGCTTTGCCATAAGCTTATCCAGTTGCTTGCGTCTGAGGATGGGAGCCTCGTTTATCATCAGAGCAGTGAACAAGTGCCCGGATTCCCTGTTCTCCATTTCTGTTTGGCAGCTAACTATTTAGGCAAGACATAAGTTATCAGTACTTCAGATTTCATAGCTGAAAAATGGGAAATACCTCACTGAGCACCGAGGTAGGACTGATTACAGTTCTTAAATTCAGAGAAATAGAAAGGGGGTCTCCACCAGCAGTGCTGAGAGAGGGACGATGCAGCTGCCCTCGTGCTCCTGTCTCGGTGCTGGGGCTGGTTGCTCCCAGCAGGCAGTTTGGGGCCTGCGTGGCCATTCCCTCCTGAGGCTTCCTGCAGGAAAGGCCATGGAGACCCAGCAGAGCTTCCCTTTGGGTTCCCTTGTGTGGGAAGCAGCAGAGCTCCACGTTCTTCCTGCCGGGATGCGGAAAGATTTCCAACTATTCATTCCTTCTTTCCTACCTATCCACAAACACACAGGCACTGCGCACACACAAGCAGCTCTAAGATTTGGCTGCTCCTTTAAAAGCAGTGGGCAAATACAAAATGTTATTACCTATCACCTCCCTTAAAACAGGCCAGTGCTGAGAAAGTAAAACAAGCCTTTTGAAATAGTATGGGAAGCCCCCAAATTTACCCCTTGGCAGTGGTTTGGATCTTCAATAAAGAAGCTTTCATGGAACGTGGCCCTGGTTAGCAGGAAGGTGTTAGAACTGCACAGCCCTCCTTGTGGCGTGTGTAGCTTGCCCCAGCGCCGCTGCACACGTGCCTGGCGCTGGCTGTACCGGCACACGTGGGCAGCACGGCTCTCACGGAGCCTGCAGAAGAGCCTGCAGAAGTGGCTTGGACCTCCTTGGACCTTCCACACAAACCCCCCTGCCCACATACACGTAGACTGAACGCACCCAGACCTGCAGCTCTGTGTGCAGGGACGCGCAGTGTCACTTGCTGGGCGACCTGCAGGTGAGAAGGCTCTAGGAGCAGTAGCGGGAGCCCTTTTGGGTGGCACAGGGGGATTTGGTGGCTCCATGAGGCTCCTTCCATGCAGAGCAGGATCTGCGGTGCTGCCGGGCTCCGCACATCCCGGCACCACTCCAGCACATCCCTGCCGCCGGCTGCTTCCTAACCACTGACCAGAAACACCTCCTGCAGGCTCAGCAGAAACATCCCAGTAGCTTTCAAGTCCCCTACTCTGCTTGAAGAAGGGCAGTGTCATAGTCTCCGTTCATTTGGGCTCTTTGGGTTATAAATTACACAGCCTGGCAGCTGTCCTTTCCCATATAAGCCCTGGTGCAGGGCTCACCAATGCACTCAGCAGTCAGCAGCCCTGCTAGAACAGGTATTTTCTCTTCCCTCAAGAGCGTCACGTTGCTGCTCCTGCAGTAAATGTCTCACTGCTGAGATGCTCTGCTTATGCTCAGCTCATGGTACCCAAATACTCGTTACTGGACACCAGTTGTTCCTCTGAGAAAAAACAACATACAGCTTGCATCTCCAAATAAGTGCTGATTTGTAGGAAGCAGGCCTAGAAAAAAAGCACAAATAAACACCAGGAGCTCTGTTTACAGTTAACACATTTGTATGTAAGCAATTATTTTAAATGTCACGTTTTTATTATGTTAAATCTCACATTTTTAGTACAAATGGCTTATTGGCTGTTGGCATTAGCTCTTGTTTCTCATGTCCTAATTTTTGAACATCCATTTCAGAGCTGCTGAAGTCTACTTAAAGTCTACTGTAGTCTACTAAACTTTTCCCTACATAGTGTTCATTACAGCATTATTTCTTGTTGACATAAGGAGCATTGCTGACATTATAGATTGTTTCTAGCAGTGTTAAATTACACAGAAAACACATGGATTAGAAAATTCAGGGACAGGGTGTTTGGAAAGCTAGTTTCTCTTCTTTCCCCATCCTTACCTGCACTTGTAGCACATAATGCTTTTGGCCAACACACAAAAAAAATAACTCATCCTTCTTATTATACATTAGGAAGTGACTTTTTTTTTTAGCTGACTTTGTTTTGCTCACTTCAGAAGAATGTTGGTGGACTAGTATAAAATTCCAGGAAGGTACCTGTGACCTTTGGATTCGTTGCTTACACGCTAAAAAACATAAAGGCTTTTGGTAGTTTTGCTATTATTGGAGTTACAAATGGGGAATTGATAAAAAAAAAAACAAATTAGAGAAGCTTAATGACTGGAATGTTAATCCCAATATCCACATTCAAATAAAGAGAGTGAATCTTTGTCTGAAATGGAGGACAAACTTTTTTTCCTGGTTCCTTCAGATTACTTTTGTACTGATACTGTGGTTTCATGAGCTGTGTAGCATAGAATTTGACTTCAGCAGGTTTGCAAGGTGTATTTAAATGCATTACTTTTAAAGTGCCTGTGATTTTAATGAGAGGGAGAGGACTTTTAGGGTTGCCCTTCTTTTAATAGTCCCAAATGAGAAGGTGCTGACTAGGGGCTTGTGATACTAAAGAGTCAAATGCCAATTGAGAGAACTGGCTGAATGCTGTTTGGGACCATAATAGGAAAGATAATTTAAAGTATCTTCTTATGCCTTACAGGAATAGACAATCTCTGTGAGAGGGCTCTTCACATCCGCAAACTCCTCCTAACTTTGCCCAGGTCGGTCCTTATAGTGATGAGATACCTCTTTGCCTTCCTCAACCAGTAAGTGCTTTAGAATTCCTCAAGATACTGCATCTCTTATCTGCCTCCCTCTGCGGGCATCAGAATTTGTTGTGTTTACTCATCCTCGGTGGAGAATTTACAACTGAAGCTTCATTTAACACAAAAGATAATATTTTAGTTGGCAAAGAAAGTAGAAGTAAAACAGTTCGCATGCAAATTAGAATTCCGTTTGTCCCAAACTGAGCTCAGTTCTAAGACGACAGATTAAAGTGTTGTCTGATATGGGGAGTGCAAGTAAAGTCGAGTAAAGCAAGAAAAATAACATAAATTGTAGCTACATTAAAAATAATTTACATAACTTAGAAGTAGAATTTTTGCTCACCCAAGATGATTTTAATCTCCTAATGGGAAAAATAAATAACAAACACAAGCAACAGAGGCACTGAAAGCTACTTACTTGATGCTAGCTTCAACCAGAGAAAGACTCCATGTTTCTGCTTGTATTTTCTAATAATGGGACTACGAGTGAGGAGAATGCCCAGTGTATGTATGTTTTGATATAAACTAGTTGGATTTTCACCCTGCAAAAGAAAGGCAACTTCTGAAGTAAGGGTTTGCAAGCAAGTAGACTTCCTGCCTCCCGCTTAAAACTTCAGAAGTCATATCAAGTTGCTCGAGGATTTCTCAGGTCAACCTTTCACCAAGCGCAGAAAATCCACAGCCTCTCTGGAGAGCCTGTCTCAATGTGAAGATTTTTCCCTACTTCCAGTAGCGATTTCCCTTGCTGCAAGTTGTATCTCTTGCCACATCCTTTTGCTGAACACATCCAAGAAGAATCTTGCTCTGTCTGGTCTAGACCTCCCCTTTAGCTGTTGAAGGTTGCAGCTAAATTCCCTCTCCCTCTTTTGTACCCATTGTGCTCCTGCCTCCTAACCATGTCTGTGGTTCTTCTCTAGACTCTACACAGTTTATTAATTTTTCTTGTACTGGAGATCAGAACTAGACACAGCATCCCAAATATATCTATGTAAGTGCCAAGTGGAGGAGAATAATCCCTTAATAAATGAATAATAAGCGAAGTTCCTGTTAGTCCATTGCTCTGTTGCTTCCTGCAGCCTGGTGCCATCTGCAAGTGCCTGCCAGCCCACTGACCAGCTTGTTCATGAACATGTGGTCTTGATGTCCCTGCTGGAGCAGGGAGTTGGACTAGATGGTCTCTAGAGGTCCCTTCCAACCTCAGCCATTCTGTGATTCTGTGCTCAGGTTCATGAACATTCACCAACGTGACCAGGTTGTTCATGGACAGCTCAGCCCCAGCCATGGCCCCTGAGTAACAATGTCCATTACCAGCCACCAGCAGGACTGCCCATGTTTCATGGTGACAGCTATCACTAGCTGTCTTCTTCCTTGCACTACCTTGCACATACATAAAGGATGAAACAGAAACACCTTTATAAATCTGTAAGAACAAGGTGTCTCCAGTTAACACACAGGCTAGGATAACAGTACGTGGCATAGGAAAAGGGAGAGCAAGATTGATTTGGCAGGCAGGTTGTGAAGGGAGTCATTTAGAGGCTTCCTTCTTCAGCTGGTGTTGCTTGTGAGGGGCAAACACTTTCCAAAATTCCCTTTCTAAAGGGAAGATATCACTGTATTTAAACACAAGCAGACATACTCATGCATTTACTGCTTCAGGGTGCAGAACAGTACTGAGGTAAGAGGTGTCCAAGGGATTCAGTTTATGTTTGACTGGCCCTGCACAGAAGCAATCAAAAGCCAGTCTCTTATCAGAAATCTGAACTAGGGGAATAAAGTACAACTTTTCATTCAAAATCCAAGTTGAAAAACGGTAACATTGAATTTTCTGGAGGAAAGAACAGCATGCAGTTGTTTTTTAATAAAACTTAAGCCTTTGGTTTGGAGGATTCCAAGATGAATCTCCCATTGGATTTTCGAGGCAGAAGGCAAGGTGCTCAAGGATTTTAGGTTGCTTGGTAAAAACAGAAACTAGAAGTCACAAGAGCCTTCGTAAGATCCAGGAGCTGAGTTACCTCCAGAGGACAATTCAGTCTGCCTAAGTTTTATAGCCAGTGGATGGGAAAGATACATAAAAGTCTAATGAGAAATGGTAGGGATGTAAACCCTTTTAGGATCCAGTCCGCTTGGGCCTTTGAGGATAAACCCTGATGAGACAGAAGCAGTAGCAGCTGATGCATTTTACATTAGGCCATTAGCTCAGTGTACGCTAAACACAACAGTGCAGAAGCACAAATGTGCACACACGTACATATGAGAAGCTCATTTTGTAATTTATATACTCTGCTGAAGAACTCCCCCCTTCCTTTTTCTTTTTTTTTCTTTTTTCTACTTTTTTGTTGTGTTGGAGTAAGTGTCAAGGAGAACAGGAAATCTCATTGAGAGGAAATTAAAATTTCTCAAGTTTTCAGGATAAGCTTAGTTGCAGTGAATAACTGTTTTTTTCTTGCTTTTTCTGTTACAACAGCCTTTCACAGTACAGTGATGAAAACATGATGGATCCTTACAACCTGGCCATTTGTTTTGGGCCAACACTGATGCCTGTTCCAGACATACAAGACCAGGTGTCTTGTCAGGCGCATGTAAATGAAATAATAAAAACTATCATCATCCACCATGAAGCTATTTTTCCAGATGCTAAAGAACTCGATGGCCCAGTGTATGAAAAGTGTATGGCTGGAGATGACTACTGGTGAGTCTGAGTATTATTCTTCTATCTCCTTAACAAAACCTGCAGATTTTCCAGTTGGCTCTTGGGATCTAAAACGACTTTCTCAAACTATAGGAGTATGAAGGTGAATGAGAAGAGCACTTAGGTTCACAAGGGAAGTGTTAATTGTAAAACAAATGAAGAACAGGCAGCTAGACTGTTCACAGACTGATCACAGGCTGTTACCTGCAAGGCTGTGTGGAGGCAGCTCCCCTTGCCTTGAGGCTGCCAGGGATACAGAGTGCACAGCCAGGCAGGAAGCTCGTACACGTGAACTGCCTTAGCCAATTCCAGCATATGATGCAGGACTCTTGCCCTTGCTCCTTCCCACTTCTAGCCACTTGCACCCAATTTTCGTAAATGAAAGGTTCAAAAAGTTCTGATATGGATGAAGCTGCTAGCTGAAGGACAAGTACGTTGACTTCTTCAGTATTATTTATTCATAGCAAGGCATGAGAATTACTTTTTAAATAACTTTATGACATTGGAGTGATAATTTTAAATAATGACATGGAGGAGTGACATACTGGATATCTGTGAAAAGAAGTCCGTTGTCCTGGGTGGCCTGGCAAGGGCAATGACTGAGGTTTAACACCCTCTAAAGCACCCGTTTCATGCTGTGGCTTCTCCTTCTGCTCAGCCTTTTGTTTCCCTGCAGTGACAGCCCATACAGCGAACATGGCACCTTAGAGGAAGTGGACCAGGACGCTAGTACCGAGCCCCACACCAGTGAAGACGGTAGGTCTGCTGCTTTGTTGTGCCTTGGAGGAGTGAGTTCCAGGTGTTCCATGCAGGAGACCTGCTTCCTTTCTCCATTGTGAATTTCATGAAAGAAGAGGATTTTAGTCCCAGTGCTCCGTGGCAAAGCCTCCGTTTTTAATCCTGTTTGTGGGCTCTTTCACTCTGATCCCTCTGTGTTTGGCCAGCTGTTTCCTTGTCCTCTCCTGGTTTGCCTAGTCACGGGAAGGGCAAGAGAGATACTGTTTCAGTCAGCACATACCATTTTCTGATGCAGGGTTGCATTTTTGGTGACCTTTTCCCTGTTCTATGAAAAAGCTAAACTTATCAAATGTGTGTCTCTGAATATTTTAGCTAAGAGGTAATTGCCACTCAGTATGCCACATGCTAACACAAATTTGAAAGCTGTGTCTTCCTAAGGATTTATAGCTGTTGAAAAGCTTGGGGATATGCCATCAGTAAGACTTCTGAAGAATGGCCCTTCACTATACACATTAACTTCATTCACTCTGACAATTCAGGGTATGGTGGGTAACCATAAAGAAGCTGATGTATCTTTATTAGATTACTTCTTTTTAGCCAGCTCTCCTAAATAAATAAGGTTTATTTGACTTTGGCTTATGTCATTTGGGTCATCCCTCCCTCAGATATCTCACCCGGGAACTTCTGAACTCATTGGCCAGCTTCAGTCAAACTAACAGATGTAGAGAGGTGTCAGAATTGTTAAATACTGACACGTTTCCTGTCATTTAGTAGTTGGTTAGAGGTCAAGTTTTCAAAATAATGCACCGTGCAGAGAAGAGCTGTGAGCCCCCCGCAGATCCAGTGTCCAGCACATGTGCACATGTACAGTGTCCAGCACATGTGCACTGAGAAGCAGCAGGAGCAAAAACTGCCCCTTGTCCCCCTTGGAGGATGTGTAGGAGGAAGAGGAGGAGACCACAAGGGAGGAAGAGAGCTACAGCAGCAGGGGAGCAAAACACTCTATAAAAGGATGTCAAAAACCACTGGAGAGGAGCTGGGATGATTGCCATAGGAGGGGGAAAAGGAAGGTGTATGTATAGGAGAGCTGGCTCTGCTGGCCCCGTGGCACACAGAGCAATGTAAACAATTGTTCCAGTGTCACATAGACAAGGCAGCGGTGACAGATCCTGTCCCTTCCTCCCTGCTGCAGCGAGGAGGGGCAGGCAGAGCCTCTTAACGCAGCCACTTGGGAAGGGGTGACTTTTGTGTGGGCAGCCATGCCCAGGCTTGTGACACAAGTCAGGATATGAGAGGAGTTTATCTTACACCTAGGGAGTCTCCCTGTGCCTGGACTCAGCACAGGGAAGTTGCCTTGCAAGAGGGTCCCCCAAGGAGCTCTGGTAAAAGATTAAATTACTCAGAACATGTTGGGTTCTTTTGTTCACCAGATTGCTTAGCAGTTTAATTGGAACTGCCCAATCACACCTTTTTAATGAATTTGGTTCTGAAAGGAAGCAGGCATTTGTGTTTACAGTGAAATAGTTGTTAGCACAGAAATATTTGTGATTTAGGGAAATACTGTTGCAGAGTTGAAGCCTGGATCGCATACAAACTACTTCTCACTTCTCAGCCTGCAAGCTCGAATCCATTTTTTTTCCATTGATAAAGGCTTTCCATTCTAATAGGATATTTTTCTAATGTAGGTTACAGACATTTGCATTAAATGAAATGCATTCACCATCTCTTTGTATGTATATTCATGTGCCTGTCCCTTGGACAATTCCTTCCATAAAATATTCATGGTGCCTGATAGGAGATGAGGTGGTAATTTTACAGCTTGAATATTGAATCTCATGAGAGCCACTGACTGACCTGGGCAGACAAAGAGAAAGCTTCCACTAAAGAGTGTAGAGTATTTCAGCGTTTTAATATGATTGATTCATTGATTATAGGCTCGATGCATCAGTGCCAGTAATATGTGGGGAGAGAGAAAGGGAGGTCCAGCAGTGTCATTCTGAGCTTGGTGGGATTGATTGCGCATATGGAGATTGGACTTCGGTATTTCCCTCTGTTTGTTAGGGGGATAGATGAAGCAGATTCTAGTAATGCAAAATTTTTCATGTAGAAAAATCTGATTCATTTTATGCCACAGTGTCCTAGACATTCCCAAGACCAGGTTGCTAACCCCACTATTAAGTTATTGAAACATAACGGGGGGGCCTGTGATCAAAAGCTAAAGGATTTATTCCTCTACTCTAGTTTTTGTGGTTATAAGAGTTATCTATCTGCTCTATAAAGGTAAACTGCAAGGGAGGCACTCTGTGCCTGCTAGAATGAACCCATCTGTAGCGTGTGGCTGGGCAGTTCTAGGTACGTTAAATTACAAATTACCATCCAAACAGAGTCTTTTCAATTAAAAAAAGAACAGAGTACATCAGCAGAAGTAAAACCTGGCAGCTCGTGGAAAAGAAGATTGGGACTTAGAATTGAGGATATAAACATAACTGCCGAATTTTAAACCTATTAAACACCTCTTTTTTCCTAAGGCCATTCTCATGGTTGTGTATTTCTCTTGATCACAGGAAGGAAAAGAGGGAAGGAAAGAGAGGCATGTTGCACTATAATGTAGTCAGTCTTTTTTAAATGAAAAGGTACGTTTTAAATGTACAGGAAAGCATATAATTTTTTTTTCCTAAATTTGGAAATTAAATTTAATTTGCAAGGTTTAGACCATTCAGACTCAAGCTGAAGTGCAAATAAGTTTATTTATCGCTAATTTTTATTGCTAATTTTGCTGCAGAAATCTCTTACCTGAGAGTGCCCCTTATGTAAGGATTCAAAGGGTATTAGATATTATTTATGTCTTGCTCAAGCAGTTTTTAGAATATTTTCTTAACTTTCAGTAAAGTGAAGGTTTTTTATTCTTGCTGGAGGCATATGAAAACGGGTTTGTTTCCAAAGGAAGTAAGAGAGAATTTCCTGAGGAAGTTAAACAGATGGGTTATTTCTGCTGGAAAAACATACATACCATTAGCATCATACAGCTCATAGGTATCTCAAAAATACGGGGTAGAAAATGAGACAGTAGTTCTGCTGAAAGCAAAAATTACAGGGTCCTGTAAGATTTTAAGTTGCTGTTGTGTCCCCAGCATGTGCTGCTTTTACTGCCTTTTAGTAGTTCATGCTGGGATCAACATTTTGGCAAATTCTGCTCTGTCGACACCTTGCAACATTTCTTTGCTTGCGTCCATCCCTGCTCTTGGGAACTGCTGCCTTGAGGATAAGACACGGAAATTGCCAGGCTTCCCCCCTTCCCTCAGCTCCTTGGGCCCTGGGATGCAGCCAGCACCATGGCCTCAGAGCCACGGCCTCGGCGGGGAGCTTAGTGCCACACCAAGCCCTCTGGTCGTAAGGGAAAAGCCGCACAGGATCCCAGAATCCCAGAATGGTTGGGGTTGGAAGGGACCCCTCTAGTGCAGCCCCCTGCTCCAGCAGGGACACCCAGAGCACAGGGCGGCATCCAGGCGGGTTTGAAGACCTCCAGAGGAGGAGACTCCACAACTCCGTTCTGTGGGCGCTGAGCTGGTGGCTCTGGACACATCTACTTGGCACCAAACCCTGGTTTCTAAGCACGGTGCACCCTGATGTGCCTCTAAAAATAGGAATAGTATTAGCAGAATGGGGAGTCATAAAGAAGTGAGGACAGAGTCCCTGAAGCTTTTCCCACAGTTCTTCGGTTTGTCCTAGTTCTTCACTTGGACATCCCTGCCCGAATCACCAGGGATGATGGCTGCTGAGATCATATATGTCATCAAGTCCTTCTTGACATTGTAGTCACATGCCCCCAGGTATGGGCAGAGAAATGCAATTATGTTTCTTTCCAAGCTGTCAATTTTACTGCTAGACATTACAGTTCAGCTCCATGCAGAATCTGAGACTGAGCTACCAAATTTCACCTTTCATCACCTTTGCCTCTGTGAAAAATGCTTGTCTGTCATTCAGTAACCTTGATATTAAATGGCTTAGCTTTTCGAAGTGCATTTGTTACGAGGAGTAACTGTCATACTGTTTTGGTTTTAACTATTAAAGTTTGACTTGTAGAAAGGGGAATTTGTATTGAAGAAATAAAATCAGAAGAACTGAAGAAATAAAATCAGAATGCTGTTTGTGATCGGAAAGTGTTGTCCATGTAAAAGGAGCACCCAAGCAAGTAAAGGGCCCTTTAAAAATAATAAAATCCTTCAGAATTTACATTTGAAATTCCATTAAGAAAACTGTGTGAGATGTACCAAGCCTTGCTCCTGGAGGAAGTAGGGTTTATTACCCAGGAAATCTAACAAATAAATCTCAGAAGTCACATCTGTTATCGGCACATTACCAGCTCCTGCAGCTGTTTCCAATGGGCAGCTTCCTTCAGACAGCTGAGTAAGTCTTGAAATCTGCAGTGAGGTACAGGACATGGGAGAGCACAGAAAACAGGCTCTTATCTGGTACTGCTCTTGCCTTAGTGTAATCCCACCAAGGGAGATGGACTCTTCCTAGTTTTTGCCCATTAAATGGCAAACGAAAAGAGATTCAGACTTGTGCGCACGTGGGTGATACTCATCATCGGTTGAAACCAATGTGGAAACAGGAAATTCCATAGCTTATCAGTGTAGGGTTTATCAGGCAGTCCAGGATCCATAAACATTATCAGTTAGCTTCAGAGAGGGTCAAAGAAAAACACGTGCAGGCACTTAGGCATTTGCCTGCTTGTTGTAAAGGGGGGGGGGGGGGGTTATTTATTTGTTTGCTTGCATTTTTGATTCTTACCCATTAGTGGGTGACTTTTCGATCGGAAACCTGGGAGCTTCCACTCTCTTATATGCCCTAATTTACATCTAATGCAAATGTCTGTGCTTGCAAGTGTCTGTTCCTCTCTTGAACTCTGCCTGAGATCAGTGGTATTTTCTAATCATGAATTCCACAAGCTACATGGGTGATGTTTGCAAAAGCAGCATTTCCTTTCATCAACTTATATTATTGCCATTTGATTTAATATCATTTTCTTACAGTGGGATGCAAGGTAAAGAGGCATGTCTAATCTGCTTTTCCTTCAGATTTGCATTGAAATTTTCCACATTTTCCAAAAATCCCACTATCTGCCATGTGCGGAGATGTTCTGGCTTTGTAGCCCCTCACTAACCCAAATGGACTGCAGTTTGTCCCCGACAGTTCTTACCTGCACTGCACAGCACAGCAGCAAACCGCAGCGCAGCAAGACGTTAAAAACCAGCCACAACCCGTAACCTCACTCAAGGTGCTGTCATTATGTTCTCCTGTGCAGGATGAGGTTAATTTTAAAAAGACATTCCTGCACAAAATGTTGTCATAAAGGGACAGTGGTTTTCATTATAAGTCTGGTTCTTTGGGGAATTACGGCCTCAGCGATTTTAATTTGCAGCAGACAGGAAGTTGCTGTGCTAGTCATTAGCCCAGATGTTAATTTCCATCTAAATATTGCACTAATTATGTAAAGAAATCTGTCATTTCAGAGGCTCTACTTTGAGTTATTCAGATCAACAAAGTGTGTGATTTTTAAACCAGTATTTTGCAGGTTTTTCTTTATGTTTTGAGACTGTGATGACAAATTTCAATCTATTTGAGCTCAGGTGCATTTGGTTTTGTGCAGAAGAAGATAGATGTTGTTAAAATCACAGCTGTGCCTCTGATGTCGAGGGGATGTTCTGACAGCTCTGATGCTCCCTGCAGGTAGATGTTCAGCAGGGGCCCTTCACTGACATCAGTGTGCAGGCTGGCATCCTTTACCAGTGTAAGCCTGGCAAGCCTTTACCAGTGTGAGTTTGAATTTACAAAAATACCAAGGGAAGAAAATGTGGGTTTAGTTTCATCCTTGAAAGACAGGCCTTAAAATAATCATAATCTTTTATTATTTCTTGGTGGAAAGGCTTTTCCTGTGTTTTCCCTATTTCTCCTGTGTGGAGACAGGCTAGGTCTGCGGAAAGCAATGTTTGACTTCGAAAAATAGTGAGCTCCCCAGAAGAAACCAGAGGAACGTGGGATGCTGGAGCAGCCAGAAGAGCCTCGGGCAGTTTCAGGCCGCACAGGGACTGCCCTTGCGTAGGAGGCATCCTTAGGCGGTCTGGGTCTGTTTGCCTTGCCCAAGAGAGCATCAGGAGAGGCTTACACATATTCAAGTGCTGGGCTCAGCATTGTTTAAAGAAAGAGGTTTTCCCTGGGTCTGCACAGTCGTCAGATAAAAGACAGAAATGTCATGGTTTCAGGATCCAAGGGCTGTCAGGGCAGCCCGGGGAGGTGGCACGTCCCCTCTCGTGCAGTAGTCAGGGTGGCTGCTCGCTGCTTCTGCCCTGTCACACGGTGCTCCTCGCGTCGCCGTCCATCCACAGGGATGTGCTCATCTCTCTTCCAGAGGTCTCTGTGAGCCCTTCCCAGGCCCCCTCCTGCCACCAGCTGCTCGGTTCTGTTGGCTTCTCCCAAGCTTCCCAAGCCACCCAGATGTCTCGCAGTTGGGCACAGGCTGATCATATTGCTCTGTAAGGGACACATTATAACCACTGCCTGACGTCTGCCTTAGCTCAGCTGATCTCTGTCACTTCTGCACCTTAATGAGTGCTGAGTGAAAGCGATATATGAGCTTTATGAAACCAAAATGAGCAGATAAGCCTGTCTGGAATCTGATACCCGTTCTTTTTCCCCCTCCCTTCCCAGAGTGCGAGCCTATAGAAGCTATAGCCAAGTTTGACTACGTTGGAAGATCTGCACGAGAGCTGTCCTTCAAAAAAGGAGCCTCCCTGCTTTTGTATCATCGAGCATCCGAAGACTGGTGGGAAGGCAGACACAATGGGATTGATGGCCTGGTTCCTCACCAGTACATCGTGGTGCAGGATATGTAAGCAGTGTCTACTGTGACAATGTTCTTGCCGGGGTATAGAAACATAAGCTGTTTACAAAGTAATTCCCAGTGGCTGGAAGGCTTGGAGGGGTTAAAGGCTTGGATAGTTTTTCCTTCTACACAGGCTGTTTCTGTCTTTATTGCTTTGAATTGACAACTCTTAACCAAAAGCTACTGCTAGGCTAAGCTGCTTTGTTTATGGAGATGTTCCCAATACATCAGCAGCCAGCTGCTGTTGCACCTATTTTAGTTAGATGATCTCTTTTTAGCAACTGCTGACATTTAAGTTCAGAATAACAGGGGTTGGAGGAATGCAGCCCTGAACTTTGGTTGTTTTATAGTGTTAAGCGTGTGCTTTGCCAAAGACGACGAAGTTCTTGCTCACTGAAAATGACAGTCAAAATATAAAGAGCTCAGTAAACAGAAGGATTACCAACAAATGTGGGAGACATGAAGGGACTACGTGCATCATAACATGCCCGCTTTTCATTCCTTAAGGGGATAAAAGTTGCGAGTGCTGAGATGGTCTCTGTCACACCTAAGTCACTTCTCACCTCGCCGCGTGTGTTTTGCTCAGGGATGACACCTTCTCAGATACGCTGAGCCAGAAAGCAGACAGTGAAGCCAGCAGCGGGCCCATCACCGAGGACAAGTCCTCATCGAAGGACATGAACTCTCCCACTGACCGCCACTCCGATGTGTATTCGGGCAGGTAAGCTTGAGCACAGCAGGTTTGCAGCAGAGCTCGGAGCTCACCTCTCAGGTAACGCAGCAGTTGCTTCTTCGTGGTTTGTGGTGGGCCATGCCAACTTATCCAGTGAGCACTTCTCCATTCGGGCAGGCAACGGAAAAGATCAGAACCGCCCCCTCCCCTGAGACGTCCCGGCAGGAGCAGCGATGGCCACTGCCCGGTGCACCCTCCGCACCCGCTCTCCAACTCCTCCCTGGAGCTGGGATCCCCCAACCTGGCGACCCACTGCAGCGCCCGCGGCCTCCTGCAGAGCCGCAACCTGAGCGCCGACAGCCCCGAGCGGCGCCGCCGGCCCGGCCACGGCAGCCTCACCAACATCAGCAGGCACGACTCCCTCAAGAAGATCGACTCCCCTCCCATTAGAAGATCTACGTCGTCTGGTCAGTACACAGGTTTCAACGACCACAAACCACTGGATCCAGAGTCAATAGCTCAGGTTGGTGCCTTTTTCCGTGCTTTTCTTTCTTTTTTTTTTATCACTCTCTTTTTCTGAGGAGCAAGTCTCAGGGAACAGTGTAGCTCAGAGCACACAGGGATTTTCTTGGAAAAATGCACTGGTAGGAGGATGTGCGTAGAATATTTTGCTTAGCTGTCTAAGCAGAGAGCATGGGAAAGACGATGCATTAAGGTATCCTGGGTGGAAGAAGGGGGAATAGATATTACAGAAGTAATAAAAAGAAATTATTTCCTGTTATACTGCAATGAAATTGCCTCTGCCACCCAGAACGCTAGGAGAATGTATGATCACAAGAGGTATGTAAATCTCCGTGCTCTGATGAAAGCTGGCCTGATCTAACTTGCATCATTAGTGTTCAATTATTTTACTTTAATTTATTTTCACTATTTATGATGTTTCAGTGTGCAGAAAAGTGCGGTGACCAACTAGCAGTGACCCTTTTGATCGAAAACACAGATTTCTATCGCAGTCCTAAGTTTCATGTTGTTTTGCTGATTTGATGCTTGTAGTTGTGCCCAGGAACACAAGGGGCAAGAAGTTACAGAGAATCACACAGAATCACAGGATGGTTGAGTTTGGAAGGGACCTCTAGAGATGATCTTGTCCAAGCCCCTTGCTTCAGCAGGGACACCCACAGCACCTACACCTACCTAAATCAGGGGTCCACTTATTCCTGTGGGAACAGTCACCACTCTCTTTCCTGGCAGGGCAAGGTTGGGAAGGATGGAATAGGAAGCACCAAAGCTGTACGAAGCTGGTAACAGGTCTTGAACAAATAGATGTCACTACCTGCAAAACTCCATTCTGACTAGATAGTATAACATAATTACTAAGGGCATCCTGAAGGTGCAACATGATTAGGAAAGTATTTCTACTACAGGGCTGTCACTCATGCTTCAAAATTTCCTGTCCCGATAATGCTTGCTTTCAAACTCTGCCTCTGAGGAGGGACAGAAGGGGCTGTCATGGCTGGTTCAGAAAGTTGAACGAGATACTGGAGAGTTAGAAAATGTAAATGTTATTGCTGTTTTCTTTTACTCTGAGTTGTTTATTTACTTTCCTTGAGCTACACACAGTGCTGTTTGGCTGAAGCGAATGTTTTTCATGCCTAGACTAGTGATTATTTGGCAGTGAAAGAACTTGAATTTTGATTAACCTGCATGAAAGTTACCGCGAGCAAGCAGGGAGCACCAGATATTTAACCCCATTTAAGTATTTAACTGTATCTCAGTGCCGCTGTCAAATCTTGGCTCATTCTTTTAGCATTTATATCAGAAATGCTGACAGGAAAACTAATTCCTCAGGTGAGCCTACCGAACAATGTCTTGTAGGTTTTTTCTTCTTAAAGTTTAACTGAGAGAAACAGGGAAGGGGCTTGATGGACACACGAGACTCCTTTCCTTAGGCAACCCATTTTATAACCTCTGTGAGAGACTGATCCTGAGCACCCAAGGGGCTGTATGAGGGGTGCAGTCAACTAAGAGTTAGCAAGTGGACTACAATCTTAGCAGTTAACAGTGCCCAAGAGATAACAGAAATCAGCACAATTAAAAAAAAAAAAAAATGCTGCTGAGCAAATGTCCTTTCTCTTAACAGACACTCAGTAAAACAGGTTTGTTTTATTTTAGCTGAATTTTGACACTCAAGCATCAGGTAAACAGAAAAAGAAACGAAAGTGAAGTTCAGCCAGAGCTGCCGTCTCGCTGGCTGCAGCTTTTCTTGAATGAATCCGTTGGAAATTGGCTCTACTGCTGTAATGTGCATTAAGGAGGAACGCTGTAATTGGCTCTACCACTGCAATATGCACTAGAGAGGAGCGGGTTTGCCCGTCAGCCCAGGCGTTTCCAACCCCCTGTGCCCACTGCTGGCGTCCTGACGTGCCCCTCTCCCTGTGCTCTCCCGCAGGACATCGAGGAGACCATGAACACGGCGCTGAACGAGCTGCGGGAGCTGGAGCGGCAGAGCTCGGCCAAGCACGCGCCCGACGTGGTGCTGGACACCCTGGAGCAGATGAAAGCGCCCGCCCCGGCGGCCGCGGGCCCCGAGGCGCTGAGCCCGCTCCACAGCGTCGTGCTGAGGAGCTCCGAGCCTCCCATCCGCCGCAGCACCAGTTCTTCCAGCGACACCATGAGCACCTTCAAGCCCATGGTGGCCCCTAGAATGGGAGTGCAGCTGAAACCTCCTGCTCTTAGGCCCAAACCTATTGTTCTTCCAAAAACTAATCCTAGCATAGGACCTGCCCCTCCTTCCCAGGGCCCAGCAGACAAATCTTGCACAATGTAAAATGCTCAGCCACCCACAGCGCACGGCTGGGCTATGCTAGGGAGAGGAATGGCTTGACACGAGGAGTCAGGGTTCCACAACATCCTTTGTTCATGTTTATAACTGGAGAGGCTTTGGGTTTTTTTCTGTGTTTTTGAATGTATTGTCTGAAACTAGCTACATTAACATGGGCATTTGTATTTTGTATGGTTTCAATTAAAAACAAAACTGGACAGTTGTGCATCATTTGAAAATACAAAACATAGACTTACTTGAAAACTTAATGCTGCACCATTTGTAATAAAAGCAACACGGATCACAACTAGCTTGCCACGTTGTACCCTATTTCACAGTCTTACTATAGGTACATCATAAGGGATCCTGCACAAAACTAAGGGGCGGGGGGAGTGTAAGTGGAACCTCTTGTTTCTAGGTCACCAAACCAAGTCTCAACTAGGGTAGTGAGAACTGCAGTCTAGCATGTGAGGATTAAGTAAGTGGCCTCTGTGGAAGCTCTAATTTACCCCAGGCCACATTCTCTCATTTAAAACACATCAAAAGAAGAAGAACCCTCACACACTCACCATTGGCACTGAGTTTTAGCATCATTTTTGGCAATCTTACTAGAGACAAGTGCTAAATAGATAGGGAGACCACACTACTCTCACCAATAGAAAGCATCATTCCCAGTCGTAGGCAAAGCGTATCTCCAGGATAGTGTGAAGCTGCTGCTTTTGCTGGCCTCTGTAGTAGTGTACCTTTTCCATGAGCCTGGAACACCACAGGTTTCCAGGAACCAGAGGTTTCCGGGAACCACATGGTTCCCGGATACCACATTTTTCCCAGAAGTTGGATCCATTCCAGGTTCCCGGCCGAGCGAGGCAGGCTCTGGGGAGCGCGCTGGGGCCCTTGGCAGGTCAGCAGGAGGCTGCAAGGCCCAGCTGGGCGGTGATTCCGCACGGGCTCCCGTTGACCTCCCAGCTCAGGCCGTGGCGGGAGCTGCGGCAGTCGGAGGAGCTCGGGGCTGAGCTAGGGCTGCTGCTCGGGATACCAGCGCCAGCACCGCGCTCGTTCCCGCCCCGTGCTGATGCAGCAAGAAGGGGCCTCTCTGGAGAAGGGCTCCCTCCTGGCAGCTGTGCGGGGTCAGGCGCAGGACGCTCGGCTGGTTTCCTACCCCCTAGATTCTGGCTGAGTGGAGTTTTCCATGCCTTTCTTTTCCCCCCTTTTAATGACAGAAATCGATACCTGTCTCATGTCTGTGTGTGAGTGAGGACTGTCATCTTGGCTTGGCGCTCTGCTGTTAAGTTGTGTTACATGTGAAGTAAATGTACAGCTGTTTTGCACATTGCAACACGAAGCCATAGTATTATTTCTGTGAATGATATTTGCCAACATCCAGTCCATAAAATACATTTAATTGAAAAAGAGGGGGAGGAAAAATCAGTTGAGGTCTACCTACAGGAGCACAACTCGCTTTAAGTTCTGTCTTTCCTCAAATTACTAATTATTCTGAGATCTCACCAGTGGAAAGCTTTAAGTTGTACCACTCGCTATACATAAGCAATTGAATTAGGGAGGGGGAGAGTAGCAACAAAACTGGATCAACCTAATTCCCAAGGTGACAGGAGCAATTTCCTGTCGCTACTTAGGAGCTGCTTATTCCTGCTCTGGTTGGCGCTCTGTGGACAGGTAACGCAAGGCCCCCGGTGTGAGAAGCACCCCGTGAGCTGCATCCCCGGGCTGCTCCCGCTCTGCTTGCAGCCCCACCGAGGTGGCTGCAGCTGCCCCGGGTGCCTTGGGGGCTGCAGGCCGGTGCTGCCCCGCTGCGCGAGTCCCAAAGCGCCCGCGGTGCCAGGCGAGCGGGGTGAGGGCACCCGGGGCGCCGCTCCAGCCACCCGCCCCTCACACAGAGCCACCACCGCCTGTCTCTAGGGCTGGCCGCTCGCTCCAAACAAGATTTTCAAGTAGTTCCCAAATCTGCTCGAATCGGCGGGACGAACTGGAATTTCCGCTTTCACTTACATGCAGTTTTAGTCTAGCATTTTAAAAATAACTTACCTGGCGTAATTGAGGTGGATACCTGTATCTTTAAATTGCATAGGGAATTTTGTATGTTTAAATAACTGTACTGGACTCCATAATGCTTATATTAGAAATTGTTTAGCAAAAGGAAATATTAGAAACAGTGCATTTAGTGAATGCATCCACTTAGTGCATTCACACAGTTAAATGTGTAGTTTGATGGTTATTATAGCTACTTAAAAGTATAGTAAGTGGATATGTAACAGGAAAGACTGATCCAACTACAGGCGTACTAAAGGGTAACTCCTGCACACCTAATCAAATCAGTATTGTCCTTTACTGTCAAGTTTGATAAATTGCAGTACTGGTAGCTTCCTGCTTGTTGACTGTTACCTAATTGTGTCAATGTACATCTGTAGTATGTACATGTGAAAGTGCCTTTAAATTTTAGAGGAGCTTTAGCCTTGCTCTTGTACTGTTGCATTTCCATTGCCCCCTTCCCTGTTCTTGTATGGCTGCATTCCCATTGCATTCCTTCCACTCGCAAAGAACAAATACCAACACGGAAAGTTCACGGCTCTGGAAGAGAAATGTACTGTTAATCTGTTGTGACAATGCACTTTTTATGTATAGTACTGTACATTTTGGCATGTACCATTACAAGCTTCAGTATACATTCAGGTTTGTTCCTCATAGTGTATCTTTATAATAAAGAAGCTAGTTCTGTCCGTGCGTGTCGTGTTGATGGGGAAGCCTCAGCACTTGGAGGGAGGGAGGGTTTGGGTTGTTTGCAGTAGATCCAAATAATGGAGCCAACGCACAGGCCGCTGCAGCTGGAATCCGAGGACTCGCTCTCAACACTCGCTGCGGTCATCACAGTTGGACTGACCGCTCCAATGGAGACATAGCAAAGGGCTGGCTGCAAATCCAGTGCTGTCAGGGAGGATTTCTGTGGCTTGGGATATGGCTGCCCAGTGGACCTGCCTTCAGATGGGTTTCCTTTCCACCCGGGAATACTGTGGCACGGAGCCACAGAGGGAATGACTTGTTCATTTTCAGTCAACCATAGGCTTTGAGGGAAGGAACCCAACTTGGATAAAGGTTTGGAAAACCAAGGTCTGAGCCCTGCTTCAGGAAAGCAGTAAGGGCAGCAGATGAAGCGACGGCTGTTGCGTGACCCCCTCGTTACGGTGTCTCCTGGCAGAGGGCCGGGGGGCGCAGGCCCCGCTGTGGGGCAGCGCAGGGCAGGAGGCCGCATGGGGAGCTGTTGGGAGGACACGAAAGCCCTCGCGGGCCCCGGCGGCTTGTGGCCTCGTCCGCCAGGCCGCGGTGGCCGCCTTTGTGTTGCAGGGGCCAGCGACCTACTTTGGGTATTTCTCCTTGTCCTCTGCTGCACAAAAGCAGCCTAAGAAATCGAGGTAGGGAAGGCAAAGGCCACCCTTCATTCAAGGCCCTGCAGGACTCCCGAGCGAGCCTAACCTAATTTCTGCTGTCAGCCCAAACAGTGGCGGGGACAGAGGCTTCTGAGCAGCCTTCAATCTATTTTAACATAAACAAGAAAGCACAAAAAAAAGAGTAGCCTTCTGATGGTTAACTTGATATTTAAATTCGGATGACTTTTTAATTTGCTTCTAGTTTTTGTTTGGAGTTAAAAAAAAAAAAAAAAAAAAAAAGCAAGCCTAGCCTTGCTAGCAGCAGCCAAAGGTTTTGGCAGGTGAATAGGGAACCATTGACTTTACAGGCCCTTGGAAAAGCAAAGGGAGTGATTTGTTTTCCTGAGTGAAATGTATTAGCTGAGCAGAATGCGACGAGCGAGGCAAGCCGAGAGCAGCCGTGGAAGGGGTGTGCTCAGCGCTCGAGCTGAAGCTGGGCAGGTCACCTCTGAAAACCACCGCTCGGAGCCAGGCGCCGGCCTGGGGACACCGCACCGGCCCGGTCTGCACAGGGTCCCTTTCAAAAGCGGCAAGGAAAACTTCCTTGTGTTTTGAATTCAGGACCCATGGGGAATTGCCCCCTTGGGTGGCTCCCTGGCCAAAGTCCTTTCATTAATAATGGCTGCTTTGTGGACTGAGCAAATCTGCCAGCCGGGTGCCTGTGTTTGCCCCTGTCTGGCTCCGCTGCCCTGGCACATGGATCCTGATCCCATCCCAGGGGAGGCCCGGAGCCAGCAGGTCTGTGTTGCACATGGGGACATGCAGACCCATCAGCATTGACCAAGAGGTGGATGACCTGGTCCTCAAAACCTGGTACCACTGAATCAAGTCAGGGGCATCTTCCTCACACCTTGCTCAACACATAGGTGCCTTAAGTCATTTTTTTCCCCCTTTTTTAATTAACAACCTGTATTGATTTTTTCCAAGACAACAGAATGACAGGGCAAACCACCCCAGCGAAACAAATTCAAGTCTGAAATACGACAAAAGGAAAATTTATGCTCTTGGCAGGGGGTCACACACCTGTGGTGGGGGAAATCGATGCCGGCTACGCTCAGCACGGCCGCACGGGTAAACCAAAACCGAGCGCTGTCTGCTCTTAATTCCGCGGAGCATATTGATTCCTCGCTTAATATCTCTTGTGTGCATTTTCAGCATCACACGTTTGAATCTATAAACACTGACCATGAAACATAAAAGAAGCAATTTCCCTCTATCTGACTGAATGACTTGCCAGGAGAGGCAAATCACCGAGACCAACTCTGCTCAATAGGGGAATAAAACAGTCAGTGAAATAGGCATTTTTCTAACAGGGATTTTTTGATTGCAGTGGAATAGCATTAGTACAGAGGTGGTTACTACAGTCATGAGCTATGAATTTTAAGTGTGCCAAATGTAGGAAACATATAAAATTCCCTCCCAACTTTGACCAAGAAATCATGCTGAATATTGGAAAATGATTCACTTCTAAGGTCGTTTTAATTGCTTTTTTGCCAATTCTTGTGTTCCCTGATCACCACGGCACACCAACATAACACTTAAAAATCAGCAAGGTGAATATAGAATAATTTTCCACCAATACTCTCACATTTGAGCAGTACCGTGACATTTTCCTCAGTGCTTTGATTGACTTTTCTTGACCATTGCTTCAAGACCTTATGAAAAATTAATTTCACATCTATTGTTTCACATCTATTGTCAAGACCTTTATTTTTTGCCATTAAACACAACGAAATACTTAGGTTATGATTAGGCTGAATTTATTCTGAACAAAATAGATTTATATGAAAGGTTACAAGCACTGCCAGGCAGAGACTACAAAATCACCAAAATGTTCTTCCATTCTCCTTCTAAAATTAAATATATATATAATGATGACAGTAGCATTGTTGTTGCACCTCAGCCCTTCAAAGTGCTCTAAATAATAAAAATGTACTTCATCAAGCACTAGAAGCTTAGAAGCTTATTCATTTCTCATGTCCTGTAGACCTAAATGTCATTTCTATCTGTGCTTATCAATGAGTAATTAAAATCCAGAGTACAGGATTTATACAGTCCTGTGTATTCATTGCAATTCATATGCACAGGGAAGTAGTAGTCAATTTACAAGTAGTAGTCAATTTACAATTTACTACAGAAATTTCCTACAGAAATTGAGTTTCTTTTGTATCTGCAGTGTAATATTAAGTCTTAGTTCTGACCTCTGTGGAAATAACTTGATTTTCTGGTTTAGAGGTTAATGCCATTGCTAATTGCTGTTTCAGAGTTTGTACTTTTACCTATTTGAGAGGTATATCAATAGTCTGAAGTATTTGCATGTGATTTTTGCATGCACTACAGTTCCACCTATAATA